CAGGGTAATTGCAAAATGACTACAAATATTTATATAAAAGTATATCAAGTATTTTTCCATCTTCTTTACAGACCAATTATAATTATTATTGTTTCTAGTTCTTAACACGGACATATTTAGCGTATTTAATCAGAACTGGATTTATTCAGAAATGGCTGATCATATCTCTTCCCTCCCTTATTAATTCTTACAGAAATATCCTATCTTGTTATCCTATTTCTCAGTTCGATCTTTTTCTCTTTCCACCGCGATACAATCTCTTTAGCGCACTGCCAACATATGAGAGTAATAATATTACTTTCTTATTGAGACGATTACAATACAGTGCCCGGAATCTTTCTCGAGTATTTACACCGCGATATTTCACAAATATTATACACGTCCATAGTAGAATACTTTCGCATTGCTGTATTTATAAAATAACTCAGAATATTCTATCTCCACCATATATCGAGTATTTTTCACGGTTTCTTTCTCTAAGACTTTATTGACGTCCTTTTAGTGAAGATAGAAAGATAATATTAACCGTACAGAAGCCTTTCTATTTGTGAGCACAATCACGTCGTGCGTACGTTGGCAGTAAACTACGCAATGTATTCGGTAGGTCAGCAATAAAAATGTACGCGTAAGTGTCGAAAACATCTATTAACTACGGATTCCGGTAAACCCAGACCATTAGAATTTCGTTCAGTATCTACTGTAGGTCCGTGTAAATCTCGCCGGTGTTCCGTTACAAAAGTAAAAAACACTGCATACGACCTAATGCAATTAATTGGTATCGACTCGTATTTCTGCCACATGTAATATTCATTCGTTGTCGTGCGTGGCGTGTAAACGTCGGTAGAACGAAAATCCATCGTCGTAGGGAATGGTTACGTTCACGAAGGTAAAAGATTGAAAGCTTCTCGAACAAGCGAGCACGACCGGATGTATCGATTACCGATTATGATATAGTTTATTCGCTCGGAGTTCTATTTATTACGTACTACTTGTGTGTGCCTGCATGCGTGGTACTTTAAAAGGACTACTCGCAAATCCAAAATTAGAATATAAACGGAGAATTTTGACTCGTCGACCGGATAATCATGTCGTTGATTAATGCAGCTTCGAAACTTGCACGAAAAACTTCTCGGAGACTTCTTGCGCGAAGAAATGTCTCGGATTTAGCTCGGTTGAAGCTCGTAATCTTCGAAGCTGAAGTGTCCGTAAAAATGGGGCTTTACTGTGCAGTTGGTGGCTTATAAACATCGGCTGCTTAACCACCAAGTTTTCAGAAGAATGCATAAGAATTGCAAGGTAATTTATATCGCGGCAGGTGTAACGGAAGGAGCTTTATTTGAAGTTGCGTGCTGCACGCATTTCACGCATCTTGTTCTTTTTTCCTTTCTTTTGTATTTTTTTTTCATCGAGATGCATTTGATCAGAAATACGGAGAGACACGTGACCGTCTGAGAAAATAGAAGCACAAATGGAATAGGGATGTGCAAACGGGAGGTGCAGACGGTTTGTGGCGCTTTAGAATGAGGATTTATGTCCTCTGCCGAGACGTAAACAATGCTCGAGAAGCGGCAATAAATTCGCGGGGACCTTATGTCGTAGGTTATCTAGGTCTGGGAAATTGTCGTTTACTATGCTTTATTGCAGAAGTTACATGTTACTGCCATTACGTTCGCTACTATGTTCTATGAAGATGAAGACACCTAACGCGCATCGTCTGACTCGGTGATGTTTAATATATTTTATTAAAGTGTAGTTGGCAGAGAGTTTAGCAAAGAAAGAAGACAAACTTCGCAATAGTTGCATCATTATTGTTAACGATGCTTTTACGTTCTTGGACAAGAATAAACATTTGTATGAACTGTTCTTGTCGTCTTTTCGCGTACTAAATTCTCTTCTACTAGCATACTTATGTGTTAAAAGAAACACTCTGTATAGAAATAATAGGGTTCCCGAGTAATTTCTAACGTTGCATAAGTGACATTGTTGCGGAGGATATTAACGCGATTAATATTCCTAATGATTACATTATTCTGATTTTATAGCGGTCGAAGTATTTTACTACGGACGTGGATTTCGATGGCGTGAAATATCTTCTTGCATCGCATATTTATAAAGTTCGAGAGGAAACGAAGTTTCTCTGTCATTAGTGTAGCCGACAGGTGCGTTTTATACGAATATTAAGGTACTTCAATCATCGCAGACTCGTAAAGAAGATTTATACAAAGAGAAAAATAATTATTAGTGCGTCTAACAAGAGAGGTTTTATGAAGAAATATGGAAAGAAAGAAGAAAAATGCCGAGAGTTGTAGGTTAATGTCCTGTAAAGTTATGGCAACATCGACGACGTTTATAATCGCGCTGATTGCTGCGTTTTATTAGCGAACTATTAATATATGAGAAATGTCCACTCTTATTCATCGGTCGTGACATTTTACCGTGAAAATTAAATGACGGAGAAGAAAAAGAGGAAAAAATCAAGGCAAAATGTCTAAACATTTGCGCGAGTCAATTAGCCACGCACTAGGATGTAAAGCTTGCAGGTGCGAATTAATTTAGCATTTGCATTATTGTAATTAGCGATTTAAATATTTCAAGAGAGCAGACGTTTCTCAATGTCTCGGAATAATAACGAAATCACCGTTAGAGTTTCCGCAATTTTCTTTGATTTACGATACCTGAGTAAAACGACTTACATGTAGCTGAACGGGATTTACACTTTGTAACGATCCGTTAAGTCAATCAACGTTATGCCAACTGGGATTTACGTCAAGACTTACGAAAACGCAACGATTGTCGCGGATACACCGAGAAGGTTACCTTGAATATATCAACGGACGTATAAATCGCTCGTGTAAAGGGTTCGTGACCATGGAGAAACCGCAATGGAGAGAGCTTTGCCCATAGGGTGCACACAGACACACCAGCTCTCTCATGTGTCTATGGCGATAAAGTGACGCCGGTGATTACACTTAAATGTCTCCAGCCTTCATGCAACTGCCTCTCATTGACACATAATCTCTTAATTGAACTTTCCATTAAGCACTGCACACGCGACGTTGCTGATACTATTATATTTACGATGCCGCACTCGAGTAGCAAGGAACAATTAGCTCGCGTTGTTGGGCCAATTTTGTCATCGACGTGTAATTCACGAAATTTCTAGCATTTTTGTCGCGGAGATACCTCGATCTTCAACATAGTTCCGTTCGGACACTGCGCAATATTGCGGGAAATTATTTTTGTCTCGGATTTTCTACAACGTGGAAGTTACGTTACTTGCGAGAGTGTCGTAGCATACTGTCGGAGAAATCGCGCTGCGCCGACGGCGGTGCTGGAAGACTTGATAGAAAGGGTTGACACCGGACAAGAGCCTTTTCCGTTGGCGTTTCTCTTTACAGCGCAGTCAATACGGAATTTTTTCCCAACCCTTTCTGACAAAGCGAGTCAAGTGACGTGCGTCAGTAATCCCTGAAACTTTCACCGGGCTAAGTTATTTCTCTACCTCTTGCGTGCTCGCTAAAGAGTTGAGAGCTGAAAAGCCGACGTAAAAGGCAGTCACCAGAGAGACTCGTGGATAACTTTTCTTTTGTTTCTAATTACAGATTATCGATACGCTAAGCCGTCGAAGCCACTGCGCACAGCGGTAAGTTTTGAACATATGCCGATGGTAAGCAATATGCATTAGATAATTGTAAATTTCCCAGCGACGTTATTGCAAAGTGCTGGTATGAAAATATAACATTGGTTCTATCGCCGAGAAGTTCGTCGTAATTCGTGATGGCGGCTATTAGGAGAGATCTTACGCTTGTCTTATTCCATACGGACATAATTCGAATTTGAATGAGCGGCTTTCACGACCGGGCAATTTGTGCCGGCGAGCATGTAAATCGAGCAACGCGCGCCTGCCAGCCGCGAAAGATTTATAGGGTCTATTATGTCGGAAGAAAAATGTCAATGTATCAAAGAAATGGGCTGCATCCGCAAGAAATTCGCCGTAACGCAACAGCGAAATACCCCGGTCGTTTTCCCCGATGCCGACGGCTTTCTAAAACGAAGATGAGGAACTACTGAAGCGAAACCGCACGTGTTTTATTACAGCTTTAATTGCAAGTATCCTCTTAACTGTACTTTACACCATAACCGTGGCCGGGGAGAGAATATAAAATATAGACGTTGCGATTATGCAATGCCTTTAAAGAGTTTGTTTTTACTCATCGTGCCAGGGCACGTATCGATAAAAAATAACATTACAAGAGTTACTTCCACTGTTGTAGAAGAAAGGACAACAAATTTTAGTCGTGGATGTAGATAATTCGTGCCCATCCTCAATGCCGCGAGTCACTATGCGCGGCTTGAATTTATCCGTCATTCTTCGATTTGCCTTTTCTTTAATATTATAATATGCATATAAAAGAAGTACAAATGTGTGTGTGTGTGTGTGTGTGTGTTTCGTCGTTTGATTTAAGCACGTGTCTATGGGATCTTTTTACTGATTCAAGCCATTTTGATCACGAATCGCTGAGTCTCCACCCACTCTTTATTCTTTACGTAATTCTATTCTCCTTCTTTCTTTTTTCTTGACTTCGCGTTCACATGAAAAGATCAAAGCGAAAATTATTTCGCTCGCGTACGCGAGTATCTTCGTAAACTCGCTCTTTCTTGCGCGCTGCCCACCCTGACATTTTTTCAATCGACATCACTCTGTTAGTTGTGGCAAACGTAACTTATAACTTCCTTAAAAGGTACTTTACGAAGTACAACGCCATTATAAATTCACGTTTACGTCGGGCAGCCAGAGCTCGTCGTGTGGTGGCGGCCGCGACGATGCAGTTCGAAAACGCACACCGAGAACGCGGCACTTTGCACTTCGCGACACACCCTGCGCCGTTAATTCGTTACTTTACTTCACCCTTTACAGCGGGTAGGCACGATTTTCTCTGCAATTTATAGTAACCGACACCGTCGATGACCATTCGTATTCGAAAACGAGCCGACACTCTCCTTATCTCCTCTCTCTCTCTCTCTCTCTCTTTTTCTCTTCTTCTCTCTCTCTCTCTCTCTCTCTCTCTCTTATTCTCTCTCTCTCTTTTTTATCTCTGTCTTTTTCTCTCTTTCACAGTTCTCGTGTCCTTTCTACGAATTCTCTTTTGCTTTTCAAACGAAAAGAAATCCCTATTGCGTCGATCTGACGCAAACGCCGACAGGATCATGCACGCGCATACATTAACGTTCAAAAGTTGGTAACCGCGTAATGCGAATCCGCGAGCATTCCAGACAATTCTGTTGAATTTCGAAGTACACCCCGTTAAAGTGTAACTCTTTCGCAAACGTGCCTCGGACGTTGCTAACTATGTTGATTGCAGTTCTTTTTACCAGCTAGAATTTGTTATATATATCTCTTATTACTATAGATTGTTATGGAAACGTGCTTCCTGCTCGTTAATGTATTATTATATATGCAGTATACATCCCTATAGAGATCGCGACAATTTAAAGGGAGTAATGACTAAAAAAAATGTGCATAATTTTCTTATAGGATTGTAAAACCGAATATAAAAGCGTTTCATGACGTTTAAAGCGTTTAAAGCGTTAAATGCGTTTAGACAAAAGAAAGTATGATTAGACGTCATTTCGCGTGAAAAATGTCGCTCGAACAACATTAACTTTAAATATACAACGCATACATATCCGGAATCTATAATTGACAACGAATAATTGAGGAGTATCAAGTCAAGCCCATGACTTGTAAACCGAGACATTGCAGAAAACCTACGTCAATACTTATACTTAGCGCCAGGAAATTGACGTATAAAAGATAATCAGTAGCGCGAAATAATCAGCGTTTTATTGCTTCGTAATAACGCACGCTCGAGTCTTGCAAACCATAAATAAACGTGACGCAAATATTGAATGACTGGGAATACGAAATTCTTTTCCGTTTGTCAGATCTATCCCTCACTTTCTCAAGTATATCAATAACTTTTTAGAAATGAGAAATTTCCACGATGATCAGGAAACAAAAAATGCTTACGAAGAATTGAATGTTTTCCGGGGAATTGAAACTTTTACTTAACTGAACCGAACTTTTTTATCCCATCTCTGCGGAAGTGTGTCTCGAGGCTGTATATAATTACCTTGACGAATCCTATTCCTAGTTTACCGATTAATAAAAAGGTTAAAGTTCACGCTGAAAGATTCGCGATATTGTTTGCAACGATTTGACATTTCGGTGCGGTTAATTTGCAATTCTCTACGAAAGTACGATGAAACGAACGATTTTGTAGTTTTGAACGATGCGTGTATGCACGCGCATAAAGTATGTGCTTGCGGATGTACATGTATAAAAATGTGCGTTTACGAGAATTAATAATATATGTATGTGCGCGAGTCAACTGTGAGATTGGTAGAAATTAATTAAACGCGACCAGCATTTGCTATGAATTTCAGGTTTAATATCATAAGACGAGCGAGGCGATTGCGCCTCCATTTTATATCGAATTAATTAACGCCGTTATACCATAGCCTTCGCGCTTCTCCATTCTGAAGTTTTGCAATTCTGCCGCGTGAGACGCGATGTTTTAAAGTGCATTTTAAGGCCGCTTTTAAGGCCCTCTCGGTACGCATGTCGACGCGTATCTCGTTTTGGATAACTGTCAAGCGCACTTCGTTCCTGATTTTACGGTCTAAGTGGGACGGTAACACATACCCGCATCGTGTCGTACGATTGAGTTAAGCGATAAACATGCGACTGATCGATTCTTGACCTATTAATTTACTTCTTATATTTTAACAAAAAGTGTGCTTTATATCGTGTATAGTAATTCATAATATTGTAAATCAATATTGCAATAAAATTAGTGCGACGATAACGACTATTTAGTTACCAGAAGTTCACGGTATTAAGAGTCATCTGCTCTCTACAAATTCTAGGAAGAAACTCTAATTCGGAGAAATGTTCGCGAGGGGTTTTAACACATTTTTATAATTGTAATGGTCGGACTTCAAATTTATAATGGAGGCCAGGCAATTGCAGAATAATTAGTCAGCAACATCGTTTTGCGAATAAAAAGCAGGCGTATCCGGAAAAGCTCCGCGCGGACTTCACCTGTACAAGGGGTGTTCTCGCAATAAGAGCTGACGTTAATATTAAGAAATATCTAGAATATATACAGTTAGAAAATACTATTGATTATATTGCATATTAAGACTATCCTGCCGGTTGTATATAGCACGTTAGGAAAACAAAAGACAAAATCAGCTACTACAAAAATCAGTCAGAGTTGGCAAATAAATATTAACCGGCCATTGCTTGTGATGTTTGTCACTGGAGACTTGGTCTTCGGATATTTGGATATCGAATGTTTGGATATCAGATTCTTTAGAGAAATACTAAGGTATCCTAATAGCACTTGCAAATTTAAATACAAGGTAGGCACTTGAATACCTAGGTGTAAAATATCTAGATATAAAAATAACTAGATTTATATTGGCAACACTAATAATAACAAGTTTACTTTCATGTTATGCAAGAAAGTAATTATATTCCTCTTCTTGCAAGCTCTAAATTCTTCTCAAATGTTATGGAACACACCTTGTTGTTGAAACAAAAGCCGCGATAAACTTTTTCGATTTGTTACTCACAGCTTATTTACTATCGTACCAGCAAATTGTCTAGTGAATTCCGATATTTGCACATATTTCTCTTATTTTCAATTAAACATATATTTCTAACACAGTAACTAATCAACTTGGTCCAATTCACGTATCGTTGTCATGGTTATCGAAAGGTTTCCGTAGGCGATCTAATTAAGACGATATTTGTCGCGAATACCGGCAGAATCGCAACTATCTCGACTATTTAGACGCAGAAGTCGTGGATTACGTTTCCATTATTTCGAGCAAGAGGGTAAGAAAGCTGCCAGAACCATGGAGATACGGAGCGTTGCATTTCCTATCCCGCGTCCCATGATGGCTGACAACGACGACGTTTCTCACTCCACTCCATCTACGCGCGGTTCTCTCACAAAAGCGAGCGACGGGTCCAGAAGGACGAGCCTATCCTAACCTAACCCTTACTTAAGCTCCCTTTTGCACTTGGCAGCCATGTTGCCCAGAGGGTTGGGCCACCAAAACGACGGCGACTCATTGGCCGAGAGAAGAGAAAGCTCCCTCTATTTCTGTCTTGTTCTGTCTCCCTGTGCCTCCCATTTCATCTTCTTCCCTTTCGGTGATGTTCTCTCTATCTGACATCCTCTGCGGCGCATATTTCTATCCTTTTCCTAGTTTTTCTCACTCTGAACTCGCTCTTTTCTCGTCTCCGTTTCTCTCATTCTGAATTCCGTTTCTATCCTTACCTTCCGCTCTTCTTCCTCTGTATCCAGCGAGTTTCATCTCTCTATCTCGCCGCCGGTCCTTCTCCCGCGGTAAAGTTAGGTTTATTTTTTCATTATTCCTCATGTCTGTCAGACATGTTCAGAGTCATCTTCCAACTATGTGACTCTGCATCCCTGTCAGAAGGCAACGTGAAATTTATCTCGTAAGTTCAATATTGTAGATATCGCTACGTCTGAGAAAGAAACGCATTGCATCCGTGGATGATAACACAATGTGTCTTTTGAAAGGAAAATTTGTAGTATCGTTATGGTCCCATTTAATATTTCGCGTTTACGTGATACATTACAAATTTTAAATATTTCTTATGATAATATCTGTTAAGATATTTTTCGTTTTTTTTATAACCGGTTACACCCTCTGATATCTAAATAATTCTAATATGGTGGGGAATGTAAAATAATTTTACTGTGTAATTTTGCTAATATGAAACTCATTCAATAATATTTAATTTCTTTATTCTCAAATTATGGTTATCTCAATTTGTTATTAAATAAGACAAGTTGTAGGAATAAAGAATTATAGTAAAACGTATTGGAATAGTATGATGTACTTTTAAAATAATTAACTTTTGAATTTTAGACGAGAGATATATAGATGTACGAGAAAAATTATATGTTGGAGAAAACAATGATGACATAAATCTCCCTATTATTCCTTATCAAAATATTTAACTCCCTTACTTCTTTAATTTCTTTAATTTCTGAGAATATTTTGAAACGTCTTGGAGATCTTAGATTCATACAAACTTGTAGGGTTAGCTGTTACAGGAATTGTGTAACTTTTTACTTCTACAGGTAAAAAAAAAGTCAAATTTTGACCCTACCATAAAATACGCTAACCCTTTCCTGACTTTCTAATACCTGCTATTTTTATTGCCTTCGGCCGCTTTCTCCAATCCTTTTCCCACTCGCAGACACTAAAGCCACTAGTCGTACCCTTCACCCCTTTTGATCTATTCTTTCTTCCTTTTCACTTCTCTCTATAAATGTTTTAGAAGTGAAAGTTTACCAAATTTACTTTTGCGCAACGAAACCAGAAGAAGGGTTTGTTTTTTTAATAGATTAATTAATTTTTTATTTGGCTTCAGTCTTTATCAGTGAAATTTATATTATCCACTTATATATATACGTATAATTGAATTTTAATACATAGTTAGTACAACAATGAGATATAAATAACTTTTTAATGCTTACGTGCCATGAAAACAAACGAGTAATATTCACTATCTTTAGATGTAAAATATTTTGCTCAATGTTTATATCGTTATAACAAATTAAAAAAAAATGGAAATTATACATCAAATGCTTTTTTATATCTTGCATATAAAACTAAGTATTCTATTTCAAAAATCAGTTGGAATTATATATATTTTTTATTTATTAATAAATTTGGTGTTTTACATTGAAATATTGGAATAACATTTCCCACTCTGATTGATATTAAAAAAATAACTAATTTTATTATTAGCATATTTAAAATATTAATTTGATATCTAAGTAAATTATATAATTAGTATTATTTATTAGGACGACTTTGAAAATTATAATTATTGAATTTTAAATTGGACTAACTTTGTAATATATATTCTAAACTTTAAAACCTATAT